TTTTTTTTTTTGTGCAAATGTGCTGCAGAGGGTATTCACTTTGTTGATACAAGAATGGTGAGGCAAAAGATTCAGATCAAGAAGATCGACAACTTGCCGGCAAGGCAAGTGACTTTTTCAAAGAGGAGAAGAGGGCTTTTCAAGAAGGCTCAAGAGCTTTCCACCCTTTGTGATGCCGAGGTTGCCCTAATCGTCTTCTCCGCCACGGGCCGGGCCTTCGATTATTCGAGCTCAAGGTCTTTCCTCTCTCCCTCTCTCTCTCTCTATCTCACTCTTAATCAAAGTTTGGGGTTTTGTTTGCATAATGTTGTTTTCTAGTTAAAATATGTGGTTTGATTTGAGTGCACATATATGGCTTCAAGAATGTGTTTGCTTTTCTGATTAATTTTGTTGATATATTTAAGGCCATAATATGGCCAGTGGGACTTGTGAGATTTGAGGTTGTCTGACACACACACAACAAATATGGAAATAGATAAAGAAACTAATTTTGGGGGTTTTCTATGCTAAAAATAGTATTGTATTTCATCTTTTATCTCACTCAAGAATTATTTTTTTTAGCATAAATTGTGAATTTTGTAACTGTTGATTATGTTATGCTAAATAGAACAAAGATTATGCATGATTGATCAGGGAAATGCTACAGTCCCGTTACGAAACAATTCAAGATTTGTAACCGTTAGATCATCATGTAATCGTTGTGGATAGTTGATCTAACAGTTACAAACCCCGACGGAATGATTCCGTAACGGGACTGTAGAATCTCGCGTTATTGTTTGATTTGAGAATAATCTGTCTTTTACATGATAAAATTTTTTGTCATTGATTTTGATCATTTCACAAGCAGTCAATGGTCGCTGTCTCATAGTACAATCTCACTGTGTTTATTAGTCAAATCTGATTTTGGGTAAAATATATCACATTTTTTGAGAAGTGAATATGCAGAAGAACTGTCATAACATTAATTGCATGTATGTATAATACATGGAATAAACTAAAAAAAGTATGAAAAAAAAAAACAATAATAAAATCTTTTCACATAACAAAGCAAGACTGAGTATTTTGTATTTTGTAATAATAATATTAGTTAATATATGTAATAAAAGGTAATTTATGAAATTTATTTTCTTTTAAGATAGAAATTACGAGCTGCGCTGTTTCCTTGCTGAATATTTATATATCGAAAGAGGTTCATTTTTATTTATTATTTTTTTTTAATTTTTTAATTTTTAATTTTATTTTTTCGGAACAACGACCGACTCACTAGCCGGAATGGGAGGACTACCCGAGGCAGCCTAAATACCACAACGCACACTACAAAACGAACAAGAAAAAATAAAAACTTCTTACATGAGAATACAAAAGCTCCCCAAATTAAGGAGAGGAACACAACTCCCCACAGGATAATAACACAATTCCCCAGAGGAGAAAACAAGCTCCTCCAAAAAAGGAGATATCAAAACACAATTCACAAAACAACACACCAACAAACACTACAATAACACAAAACATCAAACTACACAACACATCCAACAAAACAAAATATTGCCGTAACAGCGATGATTTAAATAGTTTGGTTTACTTATTAAAAAAAATTATTGAATGAAATATAACATTAGCTGTTTATCTATTTGCGTGAAATTTAGTTTCCAAAATTGTTGTATGCATATTGTTCTAAATTTTTAGCTTCTTATCGTGCATTTTAAATTTCAAAATTGTAGGCCAAAATATTGTTTATTTTTTTAAACAATATACATGTTCTATTTTATTGTAAACATTTACCTATCAATAGATCTCTTAAAAATGCAAACATGTTTAAAAATGTACGAGATTAATTTTTGATACTATGTGTTTTTCACAATAATCTATAAATTGAAAATTAGTCATTTACATTAACATTTCAAATCGAGTATTTGTAGTATTCTGATGTTTTACATATGAAATCATCATGTTTTAATGTGGCGCGTTTCTTCGAAAAATAAATAATGGTAGAGTAAAAGTTAGTTGAGAGTTAACTAATCGTAAATGCTATTTTTTTAGAAAATATTGTGATATAAGCTGATACAAGAAAAAATAATTTATCGTAAATAAACCATTATATTTTAAAACTTTTCCAAATAAGAACTATTTAAATAAATATGACCATATAGAATAGTATAAAATAAGTACCTGATTGTATATATGGATTGACTAAACTGTAAAATAAAAAGTATTTAATGCATTTATTATATGACCTCACGACGCAACAAATTTAAATTTGTGAAATTTTCCTTAACAAACCTATACAAACTATTAGATTTAACCTCTACTAGCAACGAGTAAGGATCGACCCCCAGAGAAATATAAATTATATTGTTATTATTCGCGTATTAATTGATTTGAAACTAAGAAAACAATAAAAGGGAGGGAGGAGGGGATTGATTTTATAAAAATAAAATAAGAAATCAAATAAAATGATAAAAGTCCAGTTTTCAGTTCAGTTATCAACCAATCTAAATCTACAATTACCTAATTTCGGCGCCTTCTTTAATTTGCTGATAAATTACCAACCCTAGCTAACAACAAATCCTGTTAACCGAATTTTTCCTTACCGATTATTTAATAGAAATAAGCTATTCGACTAAATCTAACCAGTGCTGAACCTAGAATAAGCTCTCTTGATTTAATATATAAGCAATATTAATTCTTAGAAAAACAGGTTAGTCTAAGCCACGGACGCGAAAGTTCGGACCATTTAACTTACGTTTACGCTACCCTAGAGATGCACGACCCCTAATTTTTACTACTAACGAAGCGAGAACAATAACATTTACAAGTTAAAGGTCCGTCCCTAGCAATTAAACTATGAAGATTTAATGTAGCTGGCCAAACTAATTCAAACACTCATAATTCACAAACATTAAATACAGATAGCATGAATCAACTCATCAACAAAAATACAAATACGATGTCTTAATTAACCGATGATACCTATAAATCATTTAATCTATAGACAAATCTAGATTAAGATTAAAAAAATTCATAAAAATCTTAGTCTAACATACTAATAAAAATAAATACTAAATAACAGAGGAAGTATAAAATTATCCCTCTTCGTGTGCGGGACTGCTTCCCTCTCCGCAATGTGTAGTTCTCTTCCCAGCGTCTGTCCAGTTATTTCCTCTGTGTGAATGCTTCATTTCTTAATCTCATTTTTTAATATAACACTGCCCATTGGTTTGAAACCATTTATTTGTATGATTAATTTATATTTTTATTTTACTTATTACTTTTAATATAAAAAAATTAAGAAAATAATTTGAAAAAAATTATTGTATCAATTTTTTTTTTCTGAAATACAAATAATTAAATAAATATAACCAATGTATATTTATAAAAATAATTTTCAAGTTCATAATACCAATATATTTTCATGAATCAATAAACTATATTTACCAAACGTACTTTTGAAAACCGCTACTACTATCCGCTGGTCAAACCAGTTGATACAATTTGCTGGTCAAAACAGCTATTACAATCAGTTAACAGCTAACAACTAACCGGTGACTACCAAACAAAGCTAATATTTTATGTTTTTATGATATTCTAGAATAATGTAGGTAGGTGTTCAAATTGAGTATCACTTCTTAACAAAAAATAAAAATTACTACCAACTAATTGCAAAATACATTAATAGTTTAACTGATTAGTGGATGTTTTCTATAATCTTAAAGATTACTTACAAAATTGTATTTGTTACATATCATGTAATGATTATGATTTCTATAATGTTGTAGAAAATATTCGAAGTATACATGACATTTTTTCTATATATCATTTCATAAATTTTTTGGTACCCTTAATTGAATTGTTATGGCATTTTATTATGTAGCATGAGGCAACTAATCGAAAGGCGTAAACAGCAGTCAGATACGTCTGATAAATTGAGGCAGCACCACCTCCATATTCAGGTAAGCTTAGACATGACCACTTTTTGGACCGGCCCGGCACCCTTTAAGGGCCGATTACGAGTCGCGTTGTACTCCTTTCTGACGGGCCGGGCTGGGCCAGTTCCAGACTTGGGTTTTCTGATAGGTTATAGTTGTAATTTTTTTTTTAACTGGCAATTCAATGAACTGCCGCCCGTCGACCCAGCGGGCTGAGCCGGGTCGTGAACCGGCCCGAGCTTTGGCCACCTCTAGGGAAGCTTATTATATATACACTTTACTATTTAAATTAAGGTAAAAATCAACCTATTTAATGAGAAATTCGAGTTATTATTACTAATGAAATAATGTTGAGAAGGCACTTGTAGAAGTGCTATTAATAGGATAATGAACCTCCAAATAAGTGGATATATATTATTTTGTTGTCTATGGTATTTATTTGTATGACTTTTAATAAAGGTAATAATAAAGATCACACAAGCTCATAGTTATGAATGACATCATGCAGGATCACAAGATGCAAAAAAAGATAATTAAATATAATGCATTTGGATTTATAGTACCATGTTTCCAATTTTTAATTTTTTAAAAGAAGGTTTTGCATTTTTTTTTATTACTACTCCTGCCCTTGTTCAACTAGTCTAATCAATTGTTACGTCAAGTTTCACTATTTTTCGAAATTACTAGGTCTAGATAACAATATTTAGTTGAAACGCGCTCTTTCGTTAGACCTAACTACTGGACAAGATACGCTCTCTAGATCTAGCTTTAATAGTAGCAACTTTAGGATCTTAAAAATAGGCTAGCCTACTTAATTAGTAGATTCATAAGCTTGACCTACTTAATTACGTTGTGTTATTGTCGACAGTTTTAGGCTATCGTTTGCTACTAACGAATCAAACTAAACAACAATTACTAATTGTGTGCCTAATTCTAGCATTAGATATGAAAATATCTATCTAGATGATCCATCTAAACTAAATCAAACACATCATGGTTGATCAAAGCAAAGTAACACAAGCAAATCCATATAAATAGCAAAATAATCAATCGTCGTAATTAATTAGCCATAGCCAAGTACGTATGATTCGACATCTCCAAAACTAGAAATAAAGAAATAGACTAACATAATACAAATAAATAAAGATAGAAAATTATCTCATTTCATGTGCGGGTACAATCTCTCTCCTCGATTGTGCTCTCTCTTTTGTCCTATATGTGTGCGTCTATTCTATCTTTTTTTCTCTCTGGCTGCGTGAATACTCATATATGATGACCCCTCAAAATAAATCCTGAAGTGCCTTTTGTATGTTCGACTCTCCTCATCAATTAATCTTGATGCTTAAGAACTAATAGCAAGTCCCCTTGTGTCCATGAATTTTAAACCAAAATAAGTTTTTTTAATGTGACTTGGAACTTAGAGCATCTCCAAGAGACTTCTTATTTTAGGCTTCTTATTTGGAGAAATAAGGAGTCATCCTATATCCATTTGCTTCCTATTTTCTGTTATTCTCCAAGAGTCTCCCTATTTTATAATTTGAATATGAATCAGGCCCAAAAATCTATCTAAAAGCCCACTTGAAGCCCACTTGATATTGTAATTGTTAACGATTATAATAGTAATTAACTAATTTTATAAAATTCACTATTTTTTTTAATTATTATAATTAGTAATTTATTATTAATTATTTTTTATAATTTTTCCTTTATTAATATAATATTATTTCTTTTTAGATTATTATTATTATTATTATACTAATTGTTATTATAATTTATTAATTTTTAATCAAATAAATTATTTTTTGAACAATTTTTATTTTTTAATTTTTTAATTTTAATTATTATTATTAGTAATTTATTATTAATTATTTGTTATATTTTTTCATGTATTAATATAATATTATTTCTTTTTAAATATTATTATTATTATTATTTGAAATGGGGGTCGTTTTTCCCTCCCCAGAAATGAGGAAGAGAAGCCTCTATTTGAGGTCACCCTAAAAATAGGACCAAGTTTAGGGGAACTGTTGGAGACAGTTTTTGAGAGAAAATCCCTATTTTTGAGATAAAAAAGAGAAATATAGAGACTCTTGGAGATGCTCTTAATTCCTGCATAAATGACATATGGGCCAAAAACTAGGCTGGTATGAGGTACCTCATACTGTGATGACTGAAATTCCATTTAATGTCTCGTCATCAATGAAAGTACTCCAATAGTCTGAAAATAAATTA